GCCAGGCAAGCTGGCAGGCAGGAAGAGATGCTGCTAGGAACCTCTCCCTGCTGTAATTTACTAAATCCATCTGGGTCTCCTTTGAGACATTTTCTGGAAATGCCACATTTCAAGGTTCTCCCTGTTAAAAAAAGGTCAGAGAGTTCATGGGGGCCTTTCATGTTATAGGAACTTGAAAGGAAAGGAAAGGAAATGTATATTTTCAGCTTTAGCTATGATTAAGTGGGCTTAGGCCATGAGAACATTCAGATGATTTACATGACGTTACATGAAGAGCCAATTAGCCTAACAACTTCCGAAAAATATCTAGCTCAAGAGCACCTATTTATTAGAGCGCTTGAAATGTGCCAGACATTATGCTGAGCTCTTTACTAGGATACAGTGATTTGCCTCAACCTCATGCCAACAGTTAAAGGCAGATACAACACCCATTTCACACAGGAGGAAACTGAGGCTAAGAGAGGGTCAGTGATTTGTCTGGGATCTCACAGCCAGTAAACTGCAGGGCAGGGATAGAAACACCCATCTGCCCAGATCCAAAGCCGGAGCTTTCTTTCTCAGACCTTCAAACCTTGAGGGTCCTGACTTCGTTCTTTATCCAACATCAGTGGAAGGTCAGGTTTGCCTGATTAATTAGCATAAAGATGAAGCCTCAATAAAACACACCTCTGACTTGACTAATGAGTCCAGACCACTCTGGGTGGATTTGAAACTTGCTTGTAACCTCCAAGGGGGCAGCCACAGCAGGTCTCAACCACCACACTGTGGAGGAACACCAGGGCCCATGGTCTTTGGGATCTAAGTCACTGACCAGGACAGGTAGCCCAGGGCAGCCAGGAGAGATGGCACAGGCTAGGCTCTGGGCTCTCTAACCCAACAAGGGCTTGGGCCACCCATACATACCATCCAGGGGGATTATCCAATCTTCTTGATGGCCCCACCATGCAACGAGAGCCACCCAGAAAGTTAGGATTCTATATTGGTGACAGCTCATTCATCATCATTTGTCTGCCAAGACCACACAGCAGATAAGGACTCCTTTGGAATTTTAGGGCCATAATGGAATACTGGAGTGTGGTCATTAGGGTGTAGGCTCAAGAGTCAGACTGCCTCAGTTTGGAGTTCTGACACCCTAATTTTTAAGCTGTGAGATATTGGGGGATTTACTTAACCTCTTTGAACTTTAGATTCCTCATTAGTAAGATGGGGATAATAGTCCTCATGTCACAGGGTTGGTGTGATGATTAAATGAGATATGTGTATGAAGCACTTGGCAGGATGCCTCGCACATAGTATTAACTCAGTATATGGGGTCATTGTTTGAATGACTATAAGGGAATTATAAAGGAACCGGTGCTGACCAAGGGCTCCTAAGGGGATGTACCTGCCTTTTGGGAAACAAGTCTAAGCTCCTGTTCTCCTCCTTGGCATTCTAGGCCCCGATGGAAACCACCTTTAGGAGGCCACCCAGACTGCCCCAGCCCACTGGAACTCCTGCCACTCAACTCTGTACAGGCAGGCTGATCCAGCCCCCAGCTTAGCTCTGACAAGTCCTCAACTTCTCAAAGCAGCCAGTGGCTCCCAGAAGGCACTTCTACCCACTCCTCAGCCTGAGCCTAGGGCTAAGCACAGTAGCTGATCCCTCAATGAGCTTTCAGACTGATCTCAGTGAGGCTGTGAATGCCTGTGACTCAGCCCTCCTCTCTGCTTTACCCCTCCTCACACCCCTACTCTTCCTTCCCCCTCCCCTGTTCCTCCCAGCAAGGCAAGGAGTCCAAGCCAGGACATCAGAGGGCCGAGGTTCCCAGGCTTAGGGATTTCACAGCCCTATAAAATATCCAAAAAAACTTGAGAGTGGGGGAGTGAACAGATCAGAAAAAATGTCATTTTTCTTTAGCCAAATTAGGTCATTAAAAAAATATATTCTCACCATCATTTTAGTAAAGAAAGGATGCTTTCACACCAATAAAGCAGAAAGAACGTAATTTTTTTTTTTTTATTAAAGGCTAGTACCAAACTGAAAAAAATTTACCCTTAAGGAAAAAAAAAAGGACACACCTCACTTGCCCCTTCTGACTTCTTTCTTTTCTCCTTGGATTGGAGAAAACTTCAGTCCCCACGGGCCTGTGTCCACTGAGACCTCATGGATCTTACCAATTGTTCAGGAGGCTAAGCTGTAGTCACCCACAAACACAGAAGCCCCTCTAACCCCACCCCAAACGCCTTAGGGTTAGGCAGATACCTATTTCCGTTCAACTTTCAGGGGAGGTTCATCCTAAAGCCAGACCCTACAACCTGGGTAGTTGATGGAGGTGGAGGGGCCGGGAGATCATGTGTCAGTGCTCTCCAGGCAGGGCGGCTTTTGGCTGGAGCCCCTCCCCGCAAGATAGAGGGACCGGGATCCAATTGAGCACTTGGTCACATTTTGGGGAAGCAGGCTGGAGAGACCCAACGGGCAGGACACCTTAGCCCAGAGGTGGGGGGCCGCGGCTCCCCGCTGGGCGGGAGCAGATAGCATCTGAACACTGAGAAGGACGGCCCTAGCTCTTTGATCCGCAGCCAGCGAGGCTGGGCCTGGACCCGGAGGGGCGGCGCGGCTGTCTTCCGGCCCGGCTTTGCACTGCTGCCAGCGGTCCTGTGGGGCCCTGAGCCAGAGAGGCGAGGCGTTCAATGCCCCCTCCCCCAAATACCCTCGGTTTCAACTGCTCTAGAACAGGCAGGAGTGTCTACATTGAATCCAGTAGAGAAACCTGCTGGGGGACCTGCAGTTTACTCGTCCCTGATAGACCCAAAAAACCGCGATCCAAAGAACCTGTGTCTTTTTGCAGATGCAGCAGCTGAGCTGAGACCAAGTCACGGGAGGTCTCTGTGAATAAGGCTCCAGCTGCCAAGTAGATAAGATGGAAGCTTCTGCACCGACCATCGTCAATGGGCTTCAGAAAGCAACTTCCCAGATGGAGTTGCTGCGGGTAAAGGAACCCACATCGGAAACCGTGGTCCATGTGGCTACTCACAGTCCCTGGGAAATCAGTCTTTGGGGTACAGAAATTCTAGGCGTGGAACTGAGCTGGGAAAGTCGTGGTGGGGGGTGGCTGGAGTTCGGCCGCGGGGTTCGTTCCTCCTAGTCTTCTGTGTTCGCACCTCGGAGCGCCACATGGTTGAGGGGCTTGTTACAGATGTGTGATGTATGAGCTGCGCATGCAACAGATGCTCAATAAATTTGTGAGGATTGTATACTTGTTCTCACAGTGGGCGGGCAACCCTGAAGGAAGTTCCAGATTGGCATAGAGATGGAGAATGGGGCAGAGAATGGGTCTTTGAGAATTCCTAATCTTAATGGTTCCCTGGGTTCCGAGTGGCCCCAAGCTCTAAAAAACCCCCAGTTCAAAGCACAGGGCACACTGGGCCTGGGGCCCAGAGGCAGTTCACGCTAAGGCCGCGACATGAAACCACACCCAAGTCCCAAGGCACCCTCACCCTACGCAAGTGGAAAAGAAACCTGGACGCGGGATGACAATATCTTGTTGTAGGGAGAAAGCAGGGTCAGGAGTTTCCTTTAGGGTCCTGACATTACAGGAGAAGAGTGACAATCTTTAAGCTGCTCTGACGTCTCAGGATTCACTCACGGAAAGCGAGCCCTTTAAGGCTGTGCCTAGTGGGTGCGTCCCGGCCTCTCCGGGGAGAGGAGGGGGCGGACCCAGACTACTCGACCACGCC